TTAACTCCCCCTTCCAGCCCCTTTCTCCGCCTCGCCCACCACCACCCTCGTCCACCACCAGCCCCTCCGCTGCTCCTCCTGATCCTCCCCTCCCCCACCAGGTCATTCGGCAGCCATCAGGGACTCGACCTCGTGCAGCTGCAGTCGCAGTCCCAGACCAGAAGGGGTGCGGGCGGCCCGCGGCCCGTGGCGGAAGGTCGGGAGGTGGGGCTGGGAGAGGCAGAGGCGGGTGCTGCGCCGTGGGCGCTGCTGCCCGTGGAGGAGCCGCCGCAGGTGGGCGAGCTCCCTGAGTGACTCACTCTTAACGGGTCAAGAGAGGAGGAGGGATCCTCTGCCCATTGCTGTCCGGAGACGGGGTGGCAGGGACACGCACACACACATACACGTACACACACACTACACTGTTGGGATTGGATAGCAGCCCCTGGCCATTGGTCAGATACTTGTAACTTTTACACAGACACACACACATACATACAGACACCAACACACAGGTCTCCCTGTCCCTGTCTGCCTCTATGCCCTCCCTCATGCAGCCCCCTCCGCAAGGCGGCGGTCGCAGCGGCAGTGTTGGGGCTGACTCCCTGCGTGAGCGGCTGTCTAAGGTGCTGTCCTCCCCCCGGCGGGAGGCGGGGGGAGGTGGTGCCGGTGCCGGGGCCAGTAGTGGTGAGTGGAAGGAGCCCCTCATCCAGCCGCCTGGAAGCACCAGCGCGGAGCCGCAACAGGCTCTGAGGATATCCGGTACCACCCTGGCGGCCGCCGCCTCCACCTCCCCCGGGGAGAGTGGGATGCCGAGAGCAACACGGGTACGGGCTGAGGATCGTGGTGGGCGCGGGAAAGACGCTTGCTGTTGAATGTATTCTTGATAGCTGCTGTTAGATTGGACTAAGCCTGCCATATCACATTTTCTCCTTCCCACGGTGGCGGCCTCTTCACCCTCCTTCACCCTCACCCGCAGACCGTCAGCGGTGGCCCCTCCGCCACCGCGTCCCCCGGTAGCAGAGGTGGCAGCTACGACCCTGCCCTGGCCCCGGCCGCCGCCGCACACCGAGGTAGCGGCGGCAGCGGCGGCGGCGGCGGCGGTGACAAGGGGGGCTGGGAGGACCCACAGCTCGTGAAGGCGCACCAGCTGAAGCAGCAAGGAAGTGGTGGTGGTGGTGGTGCTGGTGTTAGCAGCAGTCGGCGGGAGGGTTCACCCAACACGATGCGTGTGAGGGCGGTGGCCCCGGCTCTGAGCCAGGATGTGTTGGCTGAGGCTGTCAGGTGGGAGGGGGAGGGGCGGGGAGGGGAATGGTTTGCAAGAGAGGTCGGGGGAGGAGGGAACGAGGGAGGAAGTGCGATTTAGGAGAGGGGGAGAAAGGAGGGGATGGGGGGAGTGTGGTTGGTGTGCACTTGTGTTGGAATGGGTTGGTGTTGGTTGGGGGCCTTGGGGCGCGGCTGGGGGTAGTGTGGCTCTTTGGACGTGTTTCGTTGCATGCTGAGAGCTTGTGCGTCCTAAAGGGTGGATATATCCCGGACGATGTGCCTCCTCGGCCCTCACCCCGTCTTATTGCACCATCGTCATGGGGGCCTCAACCACTTTACCAACCTCCTCATCCCGCCTCCGTCCCCTCCTTCCCCCGTCCTTCGCACCTCTCCTCTCCCTTTCTACCGCGCACATGGCCTCTATCCAACCCTGGCCACATCGCTGTCCGCAACCACTCCACATCCAACAATTCCGCACCACCCATACCCCCAGCAGCCCCGCACGTGCCCGCAAATCCGCCATCACTCCTCCCACCCCCACCACCTTCACCGGCATTACCGGTACCGCCACCACCACCTCGCCGTGCGACCCCCTGACTACGGCCCCTGGTGCCGACAGGCGCACCAGCCGCAACATGAGTGACGGCGGGCAGCACCCGCCCGCGTCATCATCGCCACCAGTGCCGCCACCGCCACCGCCAGAATCGGGACAAGATGGCGAGCGACGCCGCGGAGATGGGCAACTGGCGCCGACTGAGGGCGGCGGCCGGGGGCAAGAAGAGGCGTTCGAGGTGGACCTGCCGGATGCGATCAAGCTGGGGCTGGGCGACTTCATCTTCTACTCCATGCTCGTCGGCCGAGCGGCGATGTACGACTTCATGACCGGTACGTACGATTGTAGGAGATGCCCCGGAAAGGCGGGCATCCATTGCTTTCGGCGCATGTTCCCAACTGGGGACCGTTTTAGGGACGGCAGGTGGCTGGGGGAGGGGGGAGGGGGGAGGGGGAAATGAGGCGGCGCGTCTGGGGCGGTGGAGCGAACACAGGTTGTGGGTAGTTGTTGTGGTGGAGAGGGCCGAGGTGGCGGCCGCTGCCGAGTCAGCGTGGGCCAATCTCCGACAGCCTTGCTCTCCCTCTCTCTCTCTCTCGGTGTCAGGCCACCCGCATCAGCACTCATCGGGCATCCTGCGCAGCCTTCATCATCTGGGGGGCTGGAGCAGGTCCCGATGCGGCCGTTCTCCCCCTACCTGATAGGCACAACTCCCTCCCCCTCCCTCCCTTTCAACCACAGAGGTCATGGAACGGCCTTGTCCTCTTCCCTCCTGGGTCCTCTGGGTCCAGTGGGGTTCCCCTCAGAATGTCCCCGGAGTCGCGCATCCATCCCCCACTGCCTCCCTCACCCTGCTTCCTCTGCACCCTTCCCGTCCCGTCCCGCCCCGCCGCAGTGTTCTCTGCCTACCTGGCCATCATTGCGGGTCTGGGTTTGACTCTGCTGTGTCTGGCCATCTACCAGAAGGCCCTGCCCGCCCTGCCCTTCTCCATCGCCCTGGGAGTGGCATTTTACTTCCTCACCCGCCTCACACTGGAACCGTTCCTGGTGCCCATGTCGACTCACCTCACGTATTTCTGAAGGACAGCAGCAGAAACAGCAGCTGCAGAAGGAAGCAATAGAAATGGTTCGACTGACCCTCGTGACCCTGCATGGCGACTGACCCGCGGGTCGTGGAGAGACTGGCTGTCGATGTTATGCTACAGTGTGACCCAGATCCGGATCCAGTCCTGGTGGGGTCCGCTGTCCCACACCTCCTAGCTGCCCCCTCGACATCCATCCGACCCCGAGTTGGCGGGGGCGGACGGAGGGGGTGGAGGGGGCCGTCCGGGGGGACGGATGGGGGAGGAAGAGAGACATCTGCAGGCTGGGGCCACTGGTGGCCACACGCACCCGCACCAGTGGCGACAGCCCGTTAGCGATCAAGAGAAGAAAGAGATTGAGAGATATGGGGAGTGGGAGGGAGGGGGGTTACTGGAAGGAGGGGTGACCGGACGGCGATGGGAGGGACCTCCTGGAGTGTACAGGAACAGAAACTGGGCCCCATCGGTGGACCTCTATATGAACTGTTTGCAACACCTCCATCTACGCCAGCTGCTGCTGCTGCTGCTACTGTTGCCGGCCTGTCGTCATGCTTAAGGTGTCTGTGTCGCTGTGTATGGGTACTGCAATCCGTACCCGTACCTGCATGTGGGATCCCTCTTCGTTGTCGCAAAGTCCGCTTGGAGAAGGGGAAGCAGGAGGGCAGAAATAGAAGCGGGTAAGGCCATTTGTTAGGAACCTTACGGTGCACACAGCTACGTCTTTTTATTTTTGATAACGATCCGAGGTGGTTACAGGTGCGAGGTGAGCGGCCTGTCTCCCTTGGTGTGGGATGGTTGCCTTTGGAGAGGCAACACGACATGACGTACGGTATGGCACACAGGAGCTTCCGTCTGTCGTTTGCCTGTCTGTGCGTCGGTCGGGGTGGCGGTACGCAAGCCACAAGGCACATCATGGTGCTACGAAATAAGCGGGGCCTTATCAAGGGCCCGATATGGGTCGTACCGTGCCGTACAAGGTCGTGCCGCGCAGCGATTTGCCAGTATGGCGCCTAATGTAGACGCAAATATATGTATTATATCTTAATTGTTATACATGCAGACGTGTGCAATCGGTGCACAACGTGAAAGGCTGTTGGAGAAAGGCCCTCTGGAGAAGCCCGTTGTTAAGGGTTGGTGCGAGCTGGAGTCGCTTTGCTCATTCTAGCGGTTTCCAGGCAAGGAGGACGCCGACTTAAGTACGGAAAAGAGCTGACCAGTCGGGAGGGGGGAACTCGCAATGCTCGCAGACGTTGCCGGGCATATTGCATGAATGTGCGAATTTCTCCACACCCCTACCCGATCGCTCTGTTGTTAGCGGCTTTTCATTTGGAGGCGATGGTCGGGAAGACGCAGGGGAGATACCAGATGCAGAGATGTACACGGTAAACTGGAAAACTTCCAAACTGATGCACGAAATGCAGGACTCCCGGACGGCTTGCGACTGGCGTTTTACATCGCTCCCCGTACAGTACCATAGCCCGATCCGGTAGAAACAGTCTTCGGAAACCACCCGGCCCTACCGTATCCTCCTCCGCCGGTCAGTGCAGGCACTGCCGGCCAACGCAGCCACCCCCGCCGTGTGTTATGACCTGATCACAGCGGCCTTTCCAGCGCTCCAACAGCCAGTTATACGCGCCCCGCTATATCTGGCCTGACTGCATACATATCTACGTCGGCGGCGACGGATCTGCCGTCGCTGAGCAGTGCTCCTCAAAGTGCCCCGCTACACAGGTCGAGGGCTGTCCGTCCGCCGCCACGATATCCCCCACCAGGGAGTACCCCTTGAGACTGTACGGACATACACCGCCTGTAAGAGATAACACCCAGGCTTGCAAGCCGTACATCGGGTCCGTAAGAGTGATCTCCAATTGATCAAAATCGCCGCGACCATCATCCAGAAAAGCTCCGCAAACCTTCAAAAGAGGATAGACTCGCTTGTCTTCGTCGTACATGGACGAGCATTCCGTCACCGTAAATGGCACAGAGATCGTGACGTACGTAACATATCTACGTGCACGTGCATGCGTCGTGAAAGCGCATTCTCATTCGCCACACTGCTGGGGGTTGGGTTCCCTCAGTTCAGTGCAGGTCATGTTGCCCCAAGCCCCACCCACCCCACCTTCCCCCCAGCTAAACACCTTAAGGAATTCCTTAGTCATACATCGCCACTACCAACCCACACACGGCACGCAGGTTTCCAGACGCGCACTGCCCTCCTCCTGACCCGCGATGCTCAGGCGCCATCCTTGCCCCCTTCCACCTCCCCTCCTAATGTCCCGCTATCACTGCCATATGTTCATATATCCCCATCATATGCCAAGAGCCCCTGCAGCACCGCCCGAGCCCCCAGCCGCCGGGCCACCTCCAGAAGTGGCTGTCCGTACCGCCGACATGACATGCTCGTCCAACCTAGCCAGTGCTGCGTCCAGGGAGGGCCCATGCAGTGCGGCACACGCAGCCAGGCCATCCCGCAGAGAAGGCCCTACTCGCATGTAGGAGGCGGGGTCTGCCTCCCGTGACTGTCGGGGTTTGGGTGTGACGAGGGGGCGAACGGCGACGGCGTGCTTTTCAGTTCAAGGTGTGGGATCATTCATTTCAGGAGTGGGATCAGAGGGTGCGTGTATGCAGCAGCTGAGGATGGGGATGGGGATCAGTCTTAGGACCGAATGGGGGTGTCGGGGTGGGCGAGGACGATTAGGGGGATGGGGGTAAAGCGGCGCGGACGAGGCGACAGGAAGCTAGGCACGGAGCGACCCCGCCGGGCCCCACGGGACGAACGGGGTCATGAGCGTGTAGAGGGGTCGTTCAGAGGAGCGTCAGCAGCACACAACGCGCGCGAGGCGGTTGAGCTCGTAACGGAGGAAACGAAGGGCTAACGAGTCCTCTACTCAACATGACTCCTGAATGTTTAATTCCCTCCACTTAAAACTTCCTCCCCCATTCGCACAACTGTCCACCCCATGTCCTCCCCATTTCCTGCACCGCCCCCTCCTCCACCCCCTCCTCCATCCCTCCCCCATCCCTCCCCGAATGTTCCCTGACGACAAAGCTGGGGCTGCCCGACCCCGCACCAAGGTGTGACCCAAGTACCCCACCTGCGCTCGGCGGTTCACCTCCCCCTCCGCCTCCTCCGAGTCAAGTGCGGGTCCCGCAATCCTCTCCATGCCCTCCTCCCCCGCGCCCTGGAGGGCCCCCGCGGAGAAGAAGTCGTAGCTGAGCGGCATCCCGCCCTCCGCCGCGAACCCGCCGCCACCGCCGCCCTCCGTCTCGTACCTGCAGCCAGGTCGCCATGCGCCGAGATAATGGTGCTGAAGGCAGGTTGAGGTTTTAGTTGGGACGGACCAGTACATGAGAGAAAATCGGCCACCCACCGCGGCCGCCGACATTCACCCATCCATTCAGACATCTCTCTTTTCTCTCTTTTCTCTCTCTCTTTTCTCTCTCTTTTCTCTCTTTTTTCTCTCTCTTTTCTCTCTCTCCCTCTCCTTCTCTCTCTCTCACGCGCACACACGAATGCGAACACACTCTCTATCGTCAGCTCGCAGCCCAGGGCGGTGCAGCCCAGCGAGTTTGAGACAGCAGCAATCGCATTCGCAGCCGGCCCCTACTGCTACCTGCTACCTGGAGGGGCTGTGGCCGGGTAATCAGCAACAGCAGCTCCTTCACCCTACCCCTCCCTCCCTCCCATCCCTCCCTTCACTTTGGACGCCGTCGGCATCTCATCTCTCCCTTGAACTTCTTGCAACATTACATGAATTCCCCCTCCCTCCCGCAAACCGCCCTCCCTCTCCTCCTCCTCATCCTCCTCATCCTTCTTCTTCTTCCTCCCTCCCCCCTCTACTCACCAAACTGCGGTCACTGCGGGCAGTAGCACCTCCAGCAGCCCCAGCGGAACCCGGCTGGGTAGGGCCAGAGCCCGGCACAGCGCCAGGGCACACAACCTCCTGGACCCCGCCTGGCCTATGGAGTCGAACTGCTCCGCCCACAGCTCCAGCAGCCGCCACAGCACCACCTCACTGGGAGCTGCTCAGGTAGCGCAGCGGGGGGTGGCGCCGGGGGGAGAGGGGGGCAGAGGCCGACACAGGATGTTGGTAGGCAGGTAGGACTGGGCGGGACGGGTGACGGGTGGTGAGGGTGGTGAGGGTGAGGTGGGGCAGGGCCCCGTGGGAGCGATACGAGTTCCGGACGGTCGGCGATGGCGACGGAGAGACCAAGGACGTGAGGAAAGATGGAGAGGCGGTATTGACCGTGTGTTTTGGTTTGAGAGAAAGGCCCCAATAGGTACATCACACTGTGTGTGTCTGTGTGTGTTTGTCTGTATGTCTGTGTGCTTTTGGTAAGCCAGCATGTGTGTGTGCGCGCGTATGCATGTGCGTACATACGTACATGTGTATGTGCGCGTGTGCGTGTATACGTACATGTGCCGGGGACACACACACACACACATTTCCATTCACGGTTCCTCTCACCTAGATCAGCGGGGATGCTCTCCCGCCCGCAGCCAACCGCCGCCGCCAGCGCCCCCGCATCTCCCCCTCCCCCTCCCGCCGCCGCCCCCGCCGCCGCCACTGCAGAACACACCTCCCCGAACTGCTGCGGCGCCACCAGTATCATCCGCGCGAGTACCGGCCAGGAGTTGGACACCACCAGACTGGACTCCTGCGCGGGGGGAGATACGGACGGACATACAGACGTACAAAACCACATACATTTACACGGGTGACGTGCTCAGCTTTCAGTTTCCTATTGCGACGCCATACTATTCGCCTACACTGCTCCGTATGCTGCACAACGTACCGCATAGTGCTAGCTTTGTTGCGCCGATACTTCCAACCATCAAGCTCCACCACACCACACCCACCACCCACATTTCCAACCACATTTCCACATCCATCCACCCTCCCCGGGCAGCAGCCTCACCTTTCCTCCCAGCATCATGCCCACCAGCCGTGTCAGCACGGGCTGCAGGGCGGTGGCGGCTGCCTGGGGGGCCGAGCTCAACATCGCCTCCAAGGTGGGCAGGATCAACAACATGCCCCGCTCACTAACATTGCCTGGGAAGGAGTAGGGGGAGGAGGAGCGGGAGGACGGGCAAGAGGGCACACAGGCAGCAGCAACCGAACCGCGACAGTGATTGAGGACACAGAGCGGGTCCCGCAGATGCGGTGGATACAGAAATGCGGGAGGGAGGGAGGGAGAGAGAGGGAAGGAGGGAGGGAAAGAGAGGCAAAGAAAGGGAAGGAAGCCAGTAGAAACACATCAAAAGCGATACGGCAAAGTCAAGGCGCCAGATTTCAAGCAGCAGCCGTCACGTCATATGCCATCATGTCATCACGGCTAAGTTCATCATTGAAACACATCCACCCACCCACAATCGCCAGCAGCACCGCGAGCACGTGCTGCCCCACTGCGCTGTACAGCATCGGCCCCGAAACCAGGGCTGCGCTGGACAGGATGGCGGATACCTACAGCGGGAAGAAGGGGGAGAGAGAGGAATCAGGGAGATACACACACACACACACACACACACGCACACACACACACACGCGCGCGCGCGTAAATGAGCAAACGAGCTCTCAAGAGGCAGACAATGTGAGGTTTAAGTGGTCCCTCTGATTTCACATAAACACACACAACATCCATACATCACATACAAACACACGCACACACGCCCCTTACCAGCGGCAGGTGTTCCGTCGACGCCTCCGCAATGACCGCCAGAGCAGGGAAGGGACTCAGCAGTGCCTGCAGAGTGCCCTCGCGACCGGGAACCACACGGACAGGACACGGAGCCGCCACCGCCGGGGACGGGGGTGACGGTACCGCCAATGGACCGCCACCACCACCACCACCGCCAGGACCACCGCCACTACAACCACCACCACCACCGCCAGCTGCCGCCGCTGCTGCTGGATCTGGTTCGCAGCAGCTTGGTGCGTTCCTCAGTGCCACCAGCCACAAAGCCAAGCCGTCCTCCAGCAGCCCCTCAGATACCTTCATACGTGATGTGGGGTGGGGTGGGGTGGGGTGGGGTGGGCGGAAGGG